GGATTCGAACCGCGACAGTGCAGGACGGTAGCTTGACACGCTAACCACTCGTCCACACTGCCACGAGTACCCTTGAGTCACAGGGCATAAGTGAATTTCAAGTAAGGTCAGGCTCGACTTCCGCTGAGAGTACATTTGCGTGGGTTTGTAGACAAGGTTTGGCTCAAGCCTGTGACAATGACTAGGAAAAAATGACCAAATTAAAAATTGTTCTCAACTTTTGGAAAAGCAAGGCTATGTGAAATTCAATGGAAACGTCATCGTGGGAAAATTCTACTACCAGTCCTTCATAACCTTACACGAAATAGGGTGAATACATCTCATTACACTGATTTACTGGTAGTCTCGAAATCCTACTATCATACGAACAAAAGCATACAATAAGAGGAGACTGCGAGCCATCATCTTAGTTTTATTATTTACCAGATTTTCATAGAGTGACTTTAATCCCATTTAGTGATCAGAATATAATATAATTTCTCTCTCTTTCACATCATATTGGTTGATACCTTCTCGTCACTCGCATTTAAGTCTGTGGTTTGTTTGGGCTAAAAATGTCGCACCATCGGCCGAATTTGCTGGAATTCCAGACTCTGTTAAAGATGAAACTTCGACTGGCGGGTTCAAGAATGCCAGCGATCAAATATGCTCGAGAGACGCACAGACGGATTTGATCTTTTAAAGTTCGAAGTAACTTCAGTTAAATCGGAGAAGGATCATAAATCAGGAGTAGTCCTCTAATCTTTTAATTAGTAACTCGCGAAGCGTCCGATACTTCCGTGCTGGTATTTCGTCTATTATATGACAGACAATTTTAGAGCGATTTTTAGTGCCAAGTTTTTTTCTACCAAACTTATTTCAAGGAAGCACTCCCATTCACAAAAGAAGAGTAAACAGCTTTGGATAAAACTGTGGGATGACTTTACTCTGATTCAGGAGTGTGTAACAACGATATTAGACGGTGCCACTTATCGGAAGATAGACAACGATTCGCCTCGATCTGATAAAGTATGACTTTACTGACATATTCAGGCTTTCGCAGGACTCAAGACAGATTGTAGATGAATAGAGCTTTTGTCAATCATGCCATTCGACAAACCTTACACGAACTGGAAGGTTTTACCTTAAATATGACGAGAATTTTTAAAAACATCCTGTTTGGCTCTTCTTGCTAGTTTTATTCTTCCCAAATGTATTCTTTTTGTAGAGATGGCAGCTCTAAACGGTGTAGATCCCAGAACTCACGAAAAGGAAGCATAAATAAATGTGTTGTAAGGGGAGGAGGCACCGGCAGAAGAGAGTTTTGGTCAGTCGAATCAGCCGTGGTCGCGGATCTGAAAGGTCAAGATCCACCGGCCAGCCTGGTCTGGCCCACTAATGCTGTCAACCAAGACGCTGGCGGCGTCAACTAAACGATACCTGAGTCACGGACCAAAGCTGGAAATGTACACAACCAATGGAGTGAGAGAGAGAGAGTATATATCTATATATATATCAAAAAATAAATATATAAAGATCTAAATATATGGATAGTCAGCTAAATATAAAGGAATAAAGCTAGATGGACAAATAAATAGATAGAAAGATAGAAACATAGAGTGGAACAATAAAAGTAATAAAGCATGAAACAGCCAAGGAGAGAAAGAAAGATAGATAGAGGGCAATAAATATACGCACCGTAGATGGTGGCCGAAACCGGATGGTGAACATCAAGTGGCTATATTTTCGCTGTGGCTTAAGATCTACCGTTTATTGATCCATATATTTCTGTATGTCTGTCTGTCTGTCTCTCTCTATCTCTCTATCTCTCTATCTCTCTATCTCTCTATCTCTCTATCT